GCCAGCCACTCCAACAGGAATGCCCCAATCTGAAACATGAACAGAAAGAAATAATGATTATTTTTTCTTGGTACCTACACAAATAATTATCAAACAGTACGATGAAAGTGTCCTTAAAGCTGTATGTGCCGACGATTTTTATCAGTCAATTATTAAGTACCTGTTCCTCGAAGCAGTTGATGTTTTTGCCACTATTGGTGAGGGTGTGCAGCAGGCGGAAGCGCAGAGGGCCGTCCTCGGGCGCGGCGGTGGCGTGCGTGGCGCGCAGGAAGTGGAACAGCGTGGTGCGCATCACCAGCAGATGCTCCTCCTGCCCCTCGGCCACGCGCCTTAGCAGGCCCAGCGCTGCGTGCCGGCTCTCCGCACTGCTGTCCTCCAGCAGGTCTCGCGTGCATGACCAAATTTTTTCTACTCCACCCTAATGGAATATCAAAGGATCCTGTGTTTCATGTATCATCAATAACATAGTGTCCGTAATCAACCTGTACAATATTTGAATGAATATTTTTCCATCCAGTTCCATTGTAGCAAATGCACCATTAAAAAATTTTGAACTTTGTTCAACTGACCACATTTCGAAGCCCGGCCCAAACTACATTCTACTAACTGTGTTATAAAATAAAAAGATTTTAAATAAATAACTTTTGACCATTTGACCATTTCATGCAAAAACTAGAACCAGTTAATATTTTTTTGACTTAACTCATCTATATGATATATAAAATGAACATAATATATCACCAAAGTATACAATTCTCAAGTTGTCAGTTATCAGGTTAATTAGAAAAAACATAAAACAATGGGAAAATGAGAAAATTGTGGGATAAATTGGAGATTGAGATTGGAGACATTGGAATATGAATTGGTGATAGCCTCTGTTTTCATCAAACCTTGTTTTATAATTTGTAATGTATTAAAAAATTAGGCAAAGTAAATATTGTTTTGGAACAAAGAGTACAAATTGTCTCCATACCAGGCTGGATATACACGATAAATATATAACTACATGTTCTTTTTAACTGTGTTACTTATGTGACTAAATAGCTATTTGCATGATTATTGCATTAAAATATAGTTTTAAATTTACAACAACTAACATTTTGACATTATCATTGTGTTCAGTCTCTTATTGTCCCTACAACAACAGCGTACCAACACAACTTTTTACTTTTTCCATGTGCAAGGAAAATGTTTATAGTGATAACAAATACACAACAAATTAAACACGAAATACTGTCAAGCATTGCATCAGCAAGTTGAGGGTATGTGTGAGTTACAATATGCTTGTGTGTAGTGTTTTACCTCCTGTATCCGTATCTGCAGGGCCTTCTCACCGACTTCACGGATAGCGCGCAGCCGCCGGCCCAGCGGCGTCTCGGGGGACAGCTCTCTCTCCAGTTCGGGCCCCACTACGAGCTCATTCCGCGCTGCTACCGGCCCTGTTTTCCAAACGCTACTCCTTAGCGCAAACTGATACCGGTCTACTTATTGCAAGCTAAATATATGTTAGTAATGGATGATACGCACCCGTACCTCCCTTTTTAAAAAACACTTTCAATTTGTCTTGAAAGGACTTGGTGTCCCTGTCTCTGGAGCTCATAATGGGACGCCGCCGACACTCGCCACTGTTCAAACTTACACTATAGCTTACAGCTAGGTTTAGCGATTACCTATGTGTGTAAAAATGGAAATAAAAACACATATTTGTTAAAAATATTCTCACTACCGCTTTGCTATTCACCATTTGACAGCTTGATAGACCTCTCTGGCCTCTCGTACAGCTGACAGTTCGATACGATGGAAAAAATTGTAGCTCAATGGTCGAGTTTGCAAGTAGCAACACTGATCAAACCACTGATCTTTATATATGGATAGGTCGTGGCTCGAAAAAAACATCTTTTGCTTCGCTCCAACTTAAAAGTTCCTGTTTGTTTATGTTACTAACAGTTTGTTTTATACAGCTAGTGAATATAAAAAAATAATTAAAGAATAAGTTCGTTCTAGTAGTACTTCCATGATCCTATTTAGACAAACTATACTGCAAACCTGCAAACCACGATTTTAGCGTTAAGATGGCGAATATGAAATAGGCACAAAATACCATGGCATATAACCTATGTACGTACATATAGTCTCTCCGTGTTAACTCATCTTTTGACCTCTATGATCAGTATAGAAGTCAATGGGTGGATCAAAGAGTACTGTAATATATATAGAAATAATATATACTATAATACTATAACATATGTATATGGGGTGGATTTATAATGGGTTTTATTTTTAAGCTGGGATGCGGCATTATAATATAACAGCAGCAGTATGTTGTATTAAATATTTAAAAGTGATTTTAAACTTGTGTTGATTCTTTTATTTAACAGTAGATGGAGCGCTACCTTATTTTATTTTTAATCGATTTCAAACAGAAGGAAGTTCACAATTCGTCTGTGTCTTTTACTCTTTTGTCATGGATGTACTACTAGAACAGGATTGAGCTCTCGTTGTAAAATTGAAGCCGAGCGAGACCGCAATAACTGTACCATTTGTCCCTCTCTGACGATGATGACCATGTTGAAACATGATTTAAGGAAAACCCGTACGTCAATCCAAATTTTTTTGTATTTTACATGTAGCAATAAATAACATTTTTTTAACATGTCGATAAAAAATTAAAATTAATACTTAGGAACATATTAAAAGAAAATGCTTTTACTTCATTACACAACTTCAATCGCCTATTTTTCTACAAACAATGAAAATATTGAAATCTGACAACTGGTCACTGTTAGAACGGGACACATCGAACACTTGTAGCCCTCTCACTCGGGTTCAATTTTGCGTGCAACAAGACTCTTACGACTTTAGTATAAGGTTTTATTTTCTCTATTTTAACTGCAAGATGGCATTTATTTATTTCAGTGTATGTAACCGTAGGTTCACACTGGCTGAGCATTAGTACAAAAACAAGTCATTACTCTCATCTCATCTTTCTCGAGTTTCAGTGGTAACAAACCGAGCCTACAAGAACGTAGAGATGACTAGACTTATTATTGTTATCGATAACATAATGTGTAGTATACATGCGTTGCCATCGTTCGGTCAGACAAGATCGAGATAAGCAAAAAAAGAAATTCATTCCCTGGCATCTTGTCCCGCATCGCAATTATAAATTCGAGTTTGTATGGATGAATGTTTGTTGCATATTCCGGGTAATCTCCGAAACGGCTGCGCTGATTTAGACCGGCCTTTACTGAAGGGTAGTTAACATAGAAGGGCACATTATAGGCTACTTTTTATCTTAATATTGCACGGACTAAGTCGCGGGCAACAGCTAGTCTCTACTAAGTGTGTCAAGATTATAGAAATTTTTTATATGTTATGTTTACTATTTCCCTCAACGTTAAGTATAAATAACTTAAGTAGCATTTGAGTATGGTGAAAAAATTCCAGAATTTTATAGATATCATAAATTGTCACAGTTTAAAAAGCAAGGTTATAGAGTGATAATGATATGTATGGGTGAGCTCTTGTTCCAAACCAAAGCTTTAACCATAGACAATTGCGCATTACACTAAACCGCGTTGATTACAAAATGTACCCATAAAACACTTTCTTATGAATGCATTATGTGACCAAGTATTTATTCCATCATTTATTGTCAAAAACATTTATTGACCTCTTGATTCCCAAATAACCCAGTCTTCATTATAAAAAAAACCGGTTGGTTTTACGGTGGCAAAGCGCCATCTGAAACCTGC